ATGCATTTGTTTATTTCGAAAAATCGGAGCATTCTTTTATGCTTATTTCCTTCATGTTGGATTTTTTCCGTTTTGAAATAAAATGAAAGGATTCTGAAGCCGCTATAGCTCAGGGGCTAGAGCGTTGGTCTCGTAAACCAAAGGTCGCAATGCATTTGAGTTCAAATCTCGTTGGCGGCAATGCATTTGTTTATTTCTGAAAAATCGGAGCATTCTTTTATGCTTATTTCCTTCATGTTGGATTTTTTCCGTTTTGAAATAAAATGAAAGGATTCTGAAGCCGCTATAGCTCAGGGCTAGAGCGTTGGTCTCGTAAACCAAAGGTCGCGAGTTCAAATCTCGTTGGCGGCAATGCATTTGTTTATTTCCGAAAAATCGGAGCATTCTTTTATGCTTATTTCATTCATGTTGGATTTTTTCCGTTTTGAAATAAAATGAAGGGTTTTGTAAGCCGCTATAGCTCAGGGGCTAGAGCGTTGGTCTCGTAAACCAAAGGTCGCGAGTTCAAATCTCGTTGGCGGCAATGCATTTGTTTATTTCTGAAAAATCGGAGCATTCTTTTATGCTTATTTCATTCATGTTGGATTTTTTTTCCGTTTTGAAATAAAATGAAAGGGATTCTGTAAGCCGCTATAGCTCAGGGGCTAGAGCGTTGGTCTCGTAAACCAAAGGTCGCGAGTTCAAATCTCGTTGGCGGCAATGCATTTGTTTATTTCTGAAAAATCGGAGCATTCTTTTATGCTTATTTCATTCATGTTGGATTTTTTCCGTTTTGAAATAAAATGAAAGGATTCGTAAGCCGCTATAGCTCAGGGGCTAGAGCGTTGGTCTCGTAAACCAAAGGTCGCGAGTTCAAATCTCGTTGGCGGCAATGCATTTGTTTATTTCCGAAAAATCGGAGCATTCTTTTATGCTTATTTCCTTCATGTTGGATTTTTTCCGTTTTGAAATAAAATTTTGAAGCCGCTATTTTAGAAATAAACCAAAGGTCGCGAGTTCAAATCTCGTTGGCGGCAATGCATTTGCCGAAAAATAGCTCTTTTATGCTTATTTCATTCATGTTGGATTTTTTCCGTTTTGAAATAAAATGAAAGGATTCGAAGCCGCTATAGCTGGGCTAGAGCGTTGGTCTCGTAAACCAAAGGTCGCGAGTTCAAATCTCGTTGGCGGCAATGCATTTGTTTATTCGAAAAATCGGAGCATTCTTTTATGCTTATTTCATTCATGTTGGATTTTTTCCGTTTTGAAATAAAATGAAAGGATTCTGAAGCCGCTATAGCTCAGGGGCTAGAGCGTTGGTCTCGTAAACCAAAGGTCGCGAGTTCAAATCTCGTTGGCGGCAATGCATTTGTTTATTTCTCGAAAAATCGGAGCATTCTTTTATGCTTATTTCATTCATGTTGGATTTTTTCCGTTTTGAAATAAAATGAAAGGATTCTGAAGCCGCTATAGCTCAGGGGCTAGAGCGTTGGTCTCGTAAACCAAAGGTCGCGAGTTCAAATCTCGTTGGCGGCAATGCATTTGTTTATTTCGAAAAATCGGAGCATTCTTTTATGCTTATTTCATTCATGTTGGATTTTTTCCGTTTTGAAATAAAATGAAAGGATTCTGAAGCCGCTATAGCTCAGGGGCTAGAGCGTTGGTCTCGTAAACCAAAGGTCGCGAGTTCAAATCTCGTTGGCGGCAATGCATTTGTTTATTTCTGAAAAATCGGAGCATTCTTTTATGCTTATTTCATTCATGTTGGATTTTTTCCGTTTTCAAATAAAATGAAAGGATTCTGAAGCCGCTATAGCTCAGGGGCTAGAGCGTTGGTCTCTCGTAAACCAAAGGTCGTCGAGTTCAAATCTCGTTGGCGGCAATGCATTTGTTTATTTCGAAAAATCGGAGCATTCTTTTATGCTTATTTCATTCATGTTGGATTTTTTCCGTTTTGAAATAAAATGAAAGGATTCTGAAGCCGCTATAGCTCAGGGGCTAGAGCGTTGGTCTCGTAAACCAAAGGTCGCGAGTTCAAATCTCGTTGGCGGCAATGCATTTGTTTATTTCTGAAAAATCGGAGCTTATTTCATTCATGTTGGATTTTTTCCGTTTTGCTTATTTCTATTCATGTTGGAGGTTTTTTCCGTTTTTTGAAAAATAAAATGATTCATGTTGGATTTTTTCCGTTTTGAAATAAAATGAAAGGATTCTGAAGCCGCTATAGCTCAGGGGCTAGAGCGTTGGTCTCGTAAACCAAAGGTCGCGAGTTCAAATCTCGTTGGCGGCAATGCATTTGTTTATTTCTGAAAAATCGGAGCATTCTTTTATGCTTATTTCCTTCATGTTGGATTTTTTCCGTTTTGAAATAAAATGAAAGGATTCTGAAGCCGCTATAGCTCAGGGGCTAGAGCGTTGGTCTCGTAAACCAAAGGTCGCGAGTTCAAATCTCGTTGGCGGCAATGCATTTGTTTATTTCTGAAAAATCGGAGCATTCTTTTATGCTTATTTCATTCATGTTGGATTTTTTCCGTTTTGAAATAAAATGAATGGATTCTGTAAGCCGCTATAGCTCAGGGGCTAGAGCGTTGGTCTCGTAAACCAAAGGTCGCGAGTTCAAATCTCGTTGGCGGCAATGCATTTGTTTATTTCTGAAAAATCGGAGCATTCTTTTATGCTTATTTCATTCATGTTGGATTTTTTCCGTTTTGAAATAAAATGAAAGGATTCTGAAGCCGCTATAGCTCAGGGGCTAGAGCGTTGGTCTCGTAAACCAAAGGTCGCGAGTTCAAATCTCGTTGGCGGCAATGCATTTGTTTATTTCTGAAAAATCGGAGCATTCTTTTATGCTTATTTCATTCATGTTGGATTTTTTCCGTTTTGAAATAAAATAAAATGAAAGGGATTCTGAAGCCGCTATAGCTCAGGGGCTAGAGCGTTGGTCTCGTAAACCAAAGGTCGCGAGTTCAAATCTCGTTGGCGGCAATGCATTTGTTTATTTCTGAAAAATCGGAGCATTCTTTTATGCTTATTTCATTCATGTTGGATTTTTTCCGTTTTGAAATAAAATGAAAGGATTCTGAAGCCGCTATAGCTCAGGGGCTAGAGCGTTGGTCTCGTAAACCAAAGGTCGCGAGTTCAAATCTCGTTGGCGGCAATGCATTTGTTTATTTCTGAAAAATCGGAGCATTCTTTTATGCTTATTTCATTCATGTTGGATTTTTTCCGTTTTGAAATAAAATGAAAGGATTCTGAAGCCGCTATAGCTCAGGGGCTAGAGCGTTGGTCTCGTAAACCAAAGGTCGCGAGTTCAAATCTCGTTGGCGGCAATGCATTTGTTTATTTCCGAAAAATCGGAGCATTCTTTTATGCTTATTTCATTCATGTTGCTTATTTCATTCATGTTTTTTTCCGTTTTGAAATAAAATGAAAGGATTTCTGAAGCCGCTATAGCTCAGGGGCTAGAGCGTTGGTCTCGTAAACCAAAGGTCGCGAGTTCAAATCTCGTTGGCGGCAATGCATTTGTTTATTTCTGAAAAATCGGAGCATTCTTTTATGCTTATTTCATTCATGTTGGATTTTTTCCGTTTTGAAATAAAATGAAAGGATTCTGTAAGCCGCTATAGCTCAGGGGCTAGAGCGTTGGTCTCGTAAACCAAAGGTCGCGAGTTCAAATCTCGTTGGCGGCAATGCATTTGTTTATTTCGAAAAATCGGAGCATTCTTTTATGCTTATTTCCTTCATGTTGGATTTTTTCCGTTTTGAAATAAAATGAAAGGATTCTGAAGCCGCTATAGCTCAGGGGCTAGAGCGTTGGTCTCGTAAACCAAAGGTCGCGAGTTCAAATCTCGTTGGCGGCAATGCATTTGTTTATTTCCGAAAAATCGGAGCATTCTTTTATGCTTATTTTCATTCATGTTGGATTTTTTCCGTTTTGAAATAAAATGAAAGGATTCTGTAAGCCGCTATAGCTCAGGGGCTAGAGCGTTGGTCTCGTAAACCAAAGGTCGCGAGTTCAAATCTCGTTGGCGGCAATGCATTTGTTTATTTCTGAAAAATCGGAGCATTCTTTTTTATGCTTATTTCCTTCATGTTGGATTTTTTCCGTTTTGAAATAAAATGAAAGGATTCTGAAGCCGCTATAGCTCAGGGGCTAGAGCGTTGGTCTCGTAAACCAAAGGTCGCGAGTTCAAATCTCGTTGGCGGCAATGCATTTGTTTATTTCTGAAAAATCGGAGCATTCTTTTATGCTTATTTCATTCATGTTGGATTTTTTCCGTTTTGAAATAAAATGAAAGGATTCTGAAGCCGCTATAGCTCAGGGGCTAGAGCGTTGGTCTCGTAAACCAAAGGTCGCGAGTTCAAATCTCGTTGGCGGCAATGCATTTGTTTATTTCGAAAAATCGGAGCATTCTTTTATGCTTATTTCATTCATGTTGGATTTTTTCCGTTTTGAAATAAAATGAAAGGATTCTGAAGCCGCTATAGCTCAGGGGCTAGAGCGTTGGTCTCGTAAACCAAAGGTCGCGAGTTCAAATCTCGTTGGCGGCAATGCATTTGTTTATTTCGAAAAATCGGAGCATTCTTTTATGCTTATTTCATTCATGTTGGATTTTTTCCGTTTTGAAATAAAATGAAAGGATTCGTAAGCCGCTATAGCTCAGGGGCTAGAGCGTTGGTCTCGTAAACCAAAGGTCGCGAGTTCAAATCTCGTTGGCGGCAATGCATTTGTTTATTTCTGAAAAATCGGAGCATTCTTTTATGCTTATTTCCTTCATGTTGGATTTTTTTTTCCGTTTTCAAATAAAATGAAAGGATTCTGAAGCCGCTATAGCTCAGGGGCTAGAGCGTTGGTCTCGTAAACCAAAGGTCGCGAGTTCAAATCTCGTTGGCGGCAATGCATTTGTTTATTTCTGAAAAATCGGAGCATTCTTTTATGCTTATTTCATTCATGTTGGATTTTTTCCGTTTTGAAATAAAATGAAAGGATTCTGAAGCCGCTATAGCTCAGGGGCTAGAGCGTTGGGCTCGTAAACCAAAGGTCGCGAGTTCAAATCTCGTTGGCGGCAATGCATTTGTTTATTTTTGAAAAATCGGAGCATTCTTTTATGCTTATTTCATTCATGTTGGATTTTTTCCGTTTTGAAATAAAATGAAAGGATTCTGAAGCCGCTATAGCTCAGGGGCTAGAGCGTTGGTCTCGTAAACCAAAGGTCGCGAGTTCAAATCTCGTTGGCGGCAATGCATTTGTTTATTTCTGAAAAATCGGAGCATTCTTTTATGCTTATTTCATTCATGTTGGATTTTTTCCGTTTTGAAATAAAATGAAAGGATTCTGAAGCCGCTATAGCTCAGGGGCTAGAGCGTTGGTCTCGTAAACCAAAGGTCGCGAGTTCAAATCTCGTTGGCGGCAATGCATTTGTTTATTTCTGAAAAATCGGGCATTCTTTTATGCTTATTTCATTCATGTTGGATTTTTTTTTCCGTTTTGAAATAAAATGAAGGGATTCTGAAGCCGCTATAGCTCAGGGGCTAGAGCGTTGGTCTCGTAAACCAAAGGTCGCGAGTTCAAATCTCGTTGGCGGCAATGCATTTGTTTATTTCCGAAAAATCGGAGCATTCTTTTATGCTTATTTCATTCATGTTGGATTTTTTCCGTTTTGAAATAAAATGAAAGGATTCTGAAGCCGCTATAGCTCAGGGGCTAGAGCGTTGGTCTCGTAAACCAAAGGTCGCGAGTTCAAATCTCGTTGGCGGCAATGCATTTGTTTATTTCTGAAAAATCGGAGCATTCTTTTATGCTTATTTCATTCATGTTGGATTTTTTCCGTTTTGAAATAAAATGAAAGGATTCTGAAGCCGCTATAGCTCAGGGGCTAGAGCGTTGGTCTCGTAAACCAAAGGTCGCGAGTTCAAATCTCGTTGGCGGCAATGCATTTGTTTATTTCGAAAAATCGGAGCATTCTTTTATGCTTATTTCATTCATGTTGGATTTTTTCCGTTTTGAAATAAAATGAAAGGATTCTGAAGCCGCTATAGCTCAGGGGCTAGAGCGTTGGTCTCGTAAACCAAAGGTCGCGAGTTCAAATCTCGTTGGCGGCAATGCATTTGTTTATTTCCGAAAAATCGGAGCATTCTTTTATGCTTATTTCATTCATGTTGGATTTTTTCCGTTTTGAAATAAAATGAAAGGATTCAAAGGTGAAGCCGCTATAGCTCAGGGGCTAGAGCGTTGGTCTCGTAAACCAAAGGTCGCGAGTTCAAATCTCGTTGGCGGCAATGCATTTGTTTATTTCGAAAAATCGGAGCATTCTTTTATGCTTATTTCATTCATGTTGGATTTTTTCCGTTTTGAAATAAAATGAAGGATTCTGAAGCCGCTATAGCTCAGGGGCTAGAGCGTTGGTCTCGTAAACCAAAGGTCGCGAGTTCAAATCTCGTTGGCGGCAATGCATTTGTTTATTTCCGAAAAATCGGAGCATTCTTTTATGCTTATTTCATTCATGTTGGATTTTTTCCGTTTTGAAATAAAATGAAAGGATTCTGAAGCCGCTATAGCTCAGGGGCTAGAGCGTTGGTCTCGTAAACCAAAGGTCGCGAGTTCAAATCTCGTTGGCGGCAATGCATTTGTTTATTTCGAAAAATCGGAGCATTCTTTTATGCTTATTTCATTCATGTTGGATTTTTTCCGTTTTGAAATAAAATGAAGAGGATTTGAAGCCGCTATAGCTCAGGGGCTAGAGCGTTGGTCTCGTAAACCAAAGGTCGCGAGTTCAAATCTCGTTGGCGGCAATGCATTTGTTTATTTCTGAAAAATCGGAGCATTCTTTTATGCTTATTTCCTTCATGTTGGATTTTTTCCGTTTTCAAATAAAATGAAAG